ACATTAAACCTCCTATAAGTCAGGGTGTCCTTTTAATGAATGGGACGGTTAGTAGAAACATAATTATTAGCAAAATTGTGAAATGTATTATTTGATTATTGTCATTGTGTTGTTAAAGATGTTTGTGTTCCTGTTCTGCATTTGTAAAGTGACCATCAACAAGCAGGGGCAGAGCCAGGCCTTTTTACAAGGGGGCACCAGGATGACCAAGACTTTTTTAGACACACAAATCTGGTCCTTGGGCAAGATTTGAGGTGGTGCCTCCTGCGCCAATATACATACGCTCACACAAGAAACTAAATACTGTAGCTTTAGTTTTGATTTTACTTTCTTTCTTTTTTTTAAGCCAGATTGTCCAATCTCCTGCTGCCAGCTGGCCAAAGTGGTCCACAGGCAGCAGGGTGGGGGTCCGCTGTCAAAGTTATAAAGCAAAAAAGCTTTGATTTCTGTAGTGTGTACGATTATATACTTTCCTGTTCATGATTGTGCATAAATTTAAAACATCTTATTTCTATAGTCACAAACAAAACAAACATTTTTCATTACTTTATATAATCAATGATACATTACTCTATAACACTTAACCATACAAGAGCAGCAACAAGGTTCCTGAAGTTCCCCACCCCCCTTTTAGATTTCCTGGCTTGCCTAACATCCTTCAACCAGGGTTAGATACATTTTTTTATATATTTTTGTGGTTCCCCTTGAATAAGTTAAAATGTTAGGTTTATTTAGTGAGAAAAGGATCTGTAGGTTAGTTGTAATTTTGAGTGTTCCAGCTTTAACTTCTACACCTCTTTATCCAGAAAATGTAATGGTTTGAGGAGAGTTAGACTCAAGAATGCAGACTGCCATGAGACACTTGGAAAAACTAAAACTGGTGTGGCAGCAACCAATGCAAGAAAACAACATGAAAATTGAGACACTGAGAACACGTGGACTAAATTTAAAACTGAACAGGTGAACGTGGGCAGGCCAGGAGCAGAAACTGACTGAAGGAAATATGACGGCAGAGGGAAGAACAGACAGAACTAAATCCAAAGATCACATCTTTTGATATTTCATGTTCAAAACAAAATATGACGAATGCGTAGCTCAGGACCACAATGGGAGAGTTGAAATGGTTATTTTTGATGTCTTGAGCGGCAGCAGTTTTAAAAGGCTGTTCGCCTAAGGAGACGGCTAGAAAATAATTAAAACAAACAAATAAAAAGTTTTATTACGTACTGTATGTACCTACACCCAATTTGGTTCTACCATTGGAGATACACTGATAGCGTTCAAACATCAGTTTTTATCATTTTTATAATAATCAGAATGCATTATATATTGAGTCACATTGTATATTAGCAAACTTTAAATATTGTTAGATAATAATAGAGATAAAGCAGAAAATATTTTGCTCAAGTTCATCAAGTAGAAAAGATTTTACACTTAAAATTTTCAATTACTCTTTCATTAAGTTGAGCAATAAAGACTACAACCCCTGCATAATAATCAGTGGGGTGCTGCTGTTCAGGAGAGAGTGAGAAAATGAACATTTAAATACCACAACATGTTAAACTTTAACATGAAATAAATAAATAACATACCTCATTTTGACAAAAAAGCTGATCAGGACTTTCTTTTCTAAACACTTGCTGGTACAAAGCTCCACCTATTTACACAAAGCTCCTCCCTGGAGCTCAGTCTGCAGCCGAGCTCCTGCTCCACGGAGCATTGTTGTGAAGACGCGCTGAAGTGGGAGTGTCAGAAATGGTAGGAGGTTCATAAAGAGACAGAGGTCAATTTCAAAGCGTTGAGACAAGCTATGAGTCAAAGTCAAACATATTTTTGATATACAGCTTTTTCATAACAATTGAAGGTAACATAGTTTCTTGATTGTGGTATAGAATTAAACTATGAGCCTGGAAAATACATAATACAAGCAAGCATTTATAACTAAGCATATAGGGTTTGCTCATATTATAAACTGCAACTTCAGGTCTCTTTTCATGTAGCTAAATGTGTTCTGTCTACTGGGATTCTATGTTAAGACCCAGTTTCTGTTCTGTCCTTAAATAATTATTAGCTCAGATGTTGAATGCAACAAGCATCAGCTGTTTTCAGTCTCCACTGATTTAAATACACAAAGGAAGATGTAAAAGTAGATTGGACCTTCCACCAGCAGCTGGTTTTCTAATGGTCCAACAACTGCAGACAGTTGAAGACAGATGAGAATAAAAATACTCAGTGGTGAAAGCTGCAATGGTCTGACCTCTTTGATAAAGGTGACCATGTTGTGTTGTTATCGCCAATACAGTCTGATCGGTGTAATTTGGTTGGTTGGTTTTGTTTGAGTTCTTGGGTTCCCATGGGTCCTTGAAGTCCAGTGTTGTATAAAGTACCACAAAGTGATACTTGAGTAAAAGTACAAGTATCTTACCAAAAAATTACTTTAGTAGAAGTCAGTCTCCTTTAGGAATATTACTTGAGTAAAAGTCTTAAAGAATCTGATGTTTTTTTGTACTTAAGTATTTCAAGTAAAAGTATTTATTTCTAATTAGCAGTTAGATTTTCTGTAATGACATTTATAAGGAGGTGACCTCCCCAAAAAATGCAGAAATGACCCAAGTCATATTAAAATAATTAATTTGTGTTATATTTAGGATGCACTGGTCCAGCTGTTTCAGTTTATATACATATATCAAAGATGCCCAAACCTTTTCTCCAAAATGAAAATCTATCTGAGGGCTGCGGCCAATGCAATAATATAATTCATGAAATACAAATACTTCTTCAGTACAGTACTTTTATTTTAATGATTATGTCTTGCTGGAGTGTGACATGATTTGTTTGTGTACAAACTATATGGAATCAGAATTTTATATATTTATACTTCTCATCCAACCACATTTAAATTGACTCTTATGTAGGAGGCACAATTTATGTGGATAGTATTTATTTTTTTACAGTAACAAGCTGGAATGAAAACAAGCAAAAATGAAATAAAAGTAACAACGTTCTACTTACTGCCTTTTTAAAAAATGTAAGGAGTAGAAAGTACAGATAATTGTATGAAAATGTAAGAAGTAGAAGTAAAAAGTAGGCTGAAAAATAATTACTCAAGTAAAGTACATATACCCAAACATTCTACTTAAGTACGGTAACAAAGTATTTGTACTTGAGTGAGAGTGTACATTTAATCCACTTTCTTTCATTGATTCCCAGTTCTTCATTGGATTTACATGATATTAAACCTGTTTATTGGTAACATTCTGTAGTAGCAGGTAATTGCCGTCTCGCGTGGTTCTTGAATTTAAGGAAATTGGTACTGGAAAGTCCTTGAAAGGTCCTTGAATTTGATGTTGACCAAGGTGTGGGAACCCCTGCAGCTTCAAACACAATTGCCCTTGAATGGATTTACCCCTCCCATTGTTTTTGTGGGGGGTTTTTTTTCCAGACCCGACCTAAACATTAAAATCAGCTCTAAAGCATGGATCTAACCTTTTACGTTTTTGTTGTTTCCCACCTTCAGACCCGTGAAGCCAACCACACAGGCGATCAGCTGGCAGCAGAGCGGAACAGCAGGACAGCCAGGACGCTGAACCATGTGGCTCTGGGACTCGGACTTGGATCTTTGGTCCTGTGCATCATCTACGTGATTGTTATTGTCGTTGTCCATGCTCACAACTAAACCTGCATTTTATCTTTACTCTGCATGCTTGTTCTACTTCACATAACCAGAACATATTTGGAACATTATCTATCATTAGGGTCGAGCCTCTGGGCCTGTTTTTGATTCTTAGTTTTGAATCTCACCAAAGAAATTCTTTTATTCACACAAAATTAACCAGTCAGCCTCTCAGGAAATCATCAGAACAGAAAGTCAGTGACTCAACCTGAATGGTCGTTTTATTCATATTGTTTTTAAAACAAAACCTAAAAGTGTTTTTTTTTTAAAATACAGACTTTCATTATAGATAAATTTACGAATTAAAAAAAAGTTTTTTTAATCTAACTTTATCTGAACATTTTGTGCTCCAGTGTGCAGTCTTGATAGAATTACATGTTTTTCCCCCATTTGTTTAGAGTTTCTGCATCAGTGTTCCCATCTTTTATCTTGCCTTTTGTTTGCATTTTTCTGCTCTGCTTTCACACGCAGCCTCTGGAGGCACAGGGATCCTGAAACGACACCATAATTCCTGGAAAGGAAAGAATTTGCGCAGTATTCTAAACAATCTAACGGTTTCGAGTGTACAAGTAGCACACACTTAGAAGTCACACTGAAAGGTTTTTGTTTTTTTTTTTTTGTTTTTTCTCACTGTGACATTGACAAACACAAGTCTGATGCACCAGACCAGAAAAACACACTTCACTTCAGGATGCGACTAATAAATTCCAGATGTGTTGAATTCTGATGTTTGAATAAAGAAACGGGGAAAATCCACAAAGAGCAAGTTAGGAGTTCTTCTGAATTTTCCAAGACGTTAACAATAAATGTTTTGTCCATCTCTCTGAACCATCTTCATTTTCCGTTTATAAATTCTTGTCAACATTAACATTTTTGTTCACAAGTGTTCCCTAAGACTTTTTTTTCTCACTCAAACATCATGCATTATTATGTTCCTTTTCTCAGGATGTATTCTTCCAATTTCTCCCTTTGTCGGATCGTGGTGTGTTTATGTAGGAGTTCACTTTATCTTTTAGTAGAACAGGCTTCTTTTTGTTGTCCGAGGCACAATGAATGTGAATACAGAAACCAAAAAGTGAAATCATTCCTTTTGTTGCTGCTGTAAAGTGACAAACACAGTTTTAGAATAAAAATCCACCTGTTGCCTTGCCTGTGCCACAGTGTTTGCCTTGTATTTTGTACCGCAGCTTTGAAATAAACGTGAAAATTATACTCCAGAGTGTGTGGGTTAATCATGAACGGAGTGCTTTGACTTTTACGACCTTGTCATACTGTGTTTTAGACAACTTGTGATTTTTTATGTCTAAATTACTAATAAAAGTTACATATTTGTTTATTTTGTTAGGAGTATGTACACAGTACGTACATGACTAGGCTTCCAGATGATTTTTTTAAATTCCATCTTCAACATAGATGTTTTAAACTTTTCCAAAAAGTTGGAATAAGTTGTCTAAAACATTATAGTGACAGGGTCTTTTATATTAAATACACATTTAGGAAAAATTAAATGAAAAACCTGTAAAAACCCAACTCTTCTGAAGTTTAAATGGATCACAGAAAGTTACATTTTAGATGGATGTGTTTGTAAAATTTTCACATATACAAAACAACTGGTTTATAAATTATATTTAACCCCAAAATATTAGGATTAAAACATATACAGCAATAATAAAATCAGCTTTTAATATCAATTATCTATTTTACTTATCTATGGCTTATTTCACTGCACTTGTTGGGCGGGCTGTATGAGAACTGGACCTCTGCCTGTTTTAGTCCGGGTTTCAGTTTTTTACAGTAAGTCTGCAACATGAGCTCAGGTGACTTCACTGTTTGCCTAAGGACTGACGTCTTGCAGCTCAGTTTCCTGAAAGTGGAACAGCTTTTGCAGCACCGTGCCAGAGCAGCAGCTGCTCACAGTTTTAACAACATCTAAAGGGAACACTTTTAATGTGAGATAATAAAACAGTAATTATGGAGGCAGCCTAGTGCATTGGCCACATGACTTCACACTGTAAAAAATGAAATGTTGGATTTACTTAACCATGTTATGTGGTTCCACTTAACTGAGTTGAGTAAATTCAAAGCAATGTACCAATTTTTTAAACTAAAGAATATGAGTATGTTGCTTTGAATTGACTCAACTCAGTTAAGTGGAACCACATAACATGGTTAAATAAATCCAACATTTCATTTTTAGAGTGTATGATTCACTGCAGCAATGGCGTTTTGGAATAAACGTTGGCCCTGAGGAAGGTCTGACAATGTAAAAATGTATGCAATCATAGTGAATTGTATGTAGGCTATTATAAAAATTATTTAATACTGAATTAAAATGTGTATAAGCTATGGAATGTACATAAAAATTAAAAAAAAAAAAGCTGTGTGTTACAGATGTGGCACCAGAAGAGGAAAACATGTCAGCGTTCACAAGTATGACAACTTTTAAAATACCCAAGAATGAGGTGTGTGTGTGTGTGTGTGTGTGTGTGTGTGTGTGTGTGTGTGTGTGTGTG